TGAACTAAAAACTACTGATGGAACAATAATAAAGCGACCAGTTCAATTAGTATATCCTTTGGAACTTTAAAAAACAGTTTTTTTTATTGTTTAATAATATGAATAATGACTGAATATGTTTTATGCAATTGTTTATTTTGCTAATTTAGTTTCATATGATTAGATTGAGAATAGTTTAGATTTATTGAACTGAGTGTCAAATTATATCTGATGATCGATAACAGTTACCTGATTTTTTTAGAATTTAGTATAATGATTATAAGTTTGAATATATTTTCTGTTCATTTAATATACTTATCAATTGTTTTATAATTATATGTTAAAATACTTATTGGTATAAATTTGATTGTTGTTAGATTAATGTGAACTCTTGACAGAGTTCAGGTGGGGAGTGTGTGGAAATTATTTTGATTAATTGATAGATGACGCTAGCGTTGCATGTGAACGCGACACGACGTGCCTTCTGAATTTTCATAGACTCTCCACCGGCAGCTCGATAGATGAATGTATAATGGTTCGCACACTATTTGATTAGGAACACTTCGGTTCCTATTTGATTTCGATTTTCGATTATGAAAGCATATAGATTTGTTTGTCAACTGAACCACCATTGATCTATGATCTGTAAATATTGTACATGTTAAAAGTTACATTTTAAAAGTGATTGATGTCGATTTATAGATCTTAGAATATTTTGAAACAGCTATCTGAAACATTAGCTATAGTTTTCAATTAATCTGAGGCTTCTTCTGCATAAAAGCCACATTTTTAAAGCAGTTTTTAATTAATTTTAAAAGACTTAGCACCTCACCCTGACTACAGTATACATGATCAGATAGAATAAGGCAGTAATAGAGTAGAAATATCAACTTATTTATCTCCTTTAAAGTACTTGCATTTTTCACAAAATTCTGCATATATATATATATATAACTGAAAAAGAAAATGTATAGCAAACAAGTAATTAGACGAAAGACCTATTTGGTCTTAAAAATTTTGCGCATAATGCTGCAAAAAGATATGAAATAATAGTAGGTAGAAACATTGCAGCGATCTTGCTAAAAAGTTACCAGGAGCTGTAACTCCACGAAATATTTTAACGCAGTATTACAAAAATAAAAACTAAGAAGAATTTTGCCTGGAAAACTGGAAAAAACTGTAAACACGCGAAAAAACTGCCAAAATTAATGCTGGAAGACTTGTTAATGCATGAAAAAATTAATCTGACCGTTGTGATATGTGAAAAGTTAACTCACATGAAAAATAGATTGACGGTAAAATATACAAGGAAAGTACATATAAAAACATAGATTGAAAAAATGCCAATACATAAAAAGTTAAAATTAAAAATTAAAATAAAGACACAAATTGCAACAAAACAAAATACAATATACTAGATTAAGTAGCGGAAAATGGTAAATTAACCTACTCGTACTCTCAATTGGCTTTTCAGGGGAAAAAAACTGATTGTCGAACTAGGTTAAATACCATTATGCGTTTCGCCGAAACAGACTATTGAAGCTCTTGTTTAATGCGAAAAATTTTTTATAAAAGAACATAATGTGTATTCCCGAATATATCTTTTTTGGAATAAATCCTTGTGGAGCTTCACTTCTCTGTTCCTTTTTCCCGACGCGTCCGCTGAAATGCACATTAGGGTGTTAAAAGCAATTGCAAGTCCGAGCATTGTAAAATTAAAATCAAAATCAAAATAAAATGAAATAAATAGCGGTCAGCTATTAGTCAAAAACGTACGAGCTGGTCCTTTAAACCTTAAAGAAGATGAAACGAGTGGGTTAATTTACCATTTTCCGCTATTTAATCTAGTATATTGTATTTTGTTTTGTTGCAATTTGTGTCTTTATTTTAATTTTTAATTTTAACTTTTTATGTATTGGCATTTTTTCAATCTATGTTTTTATATGTACTTTCCTTGTATTTTTTGCCATCAATCTATTTTTCATGTGAGTTAACTTTTTACATATCACAACGGTCAGATTAATTTTTTCATGCATTAGCAAGTTTTCCAGCATTAATTTTGGCAGTTTTTTCGCATGTTTACAGTTTTTTCCAGGCAAAATACTTCTTAGTTTTATTTTTGTAATACTGCGTTAAAATATTTCGTGGAGCTACAGCTCCTGGTAACTTTTTAGCAAGATCGCTGCAATGTTTCTACCTACTACTATTATTTTATATATATATATTGACCATATCTTTTCTCTTATAACATTTGGAAGCTTTTTTAATCCTGTAAAATTTAAAGGCTGAATGTTAAAAGTTGTATTTGCAGGAAAAGAATAATATGTTTCAGAAAGAGATCAGAGGTGTGTGTGCACTGCACAATTATCTTGTTTTAACTTTATAATAGTTAAGCTCTTTTTTTTTTTTTTTTTTTTTCATTTGTTAGTTCCTATTTCAAAAGACAGTTAGTAATATATTATTTTGTTATTGTTATGATAAGTTAGAAGTAAATTCTTGATACTTTTCATAAGTATCGAAGTTTTTTGCTTTTGTTGATAACCAATGCTGTCTTCTTAATTCTTAGATCCCATTTCGCACATTAATAACACAGTAATTTATTCTTTCAGTTTTGTAAATCCACTGCTGTTTCACTTTTAAATATTGATATGTTTCTTAGTAATGTTCTGTAGTGCATTCCAGTTTCTTCTGTATTGTAAATTTCAAGTTGCTTGTATTCATTTAAAACAAGTGAAATATGTTGTGTCTGGTTATCATTTGCATGATCATTCACTTCTTCCGTCTCACCAGGCAGTTTCTGATGAAGTGTCTATTTCTCTATCTCAAACTTGTGTCAGTTATATAATATTCTGTCTTAGCACTTACCAAATAAGTGAAAGAAAGCTGCAGAAATAGAAGCATTTTTTTAGCTGTATAGCTTGCAACCATTCTAATAAAAGCAGTTTCAGCTTCACTTAGTTTTCTGTCTTTTTTGCACTTCCTTGAGACATTTGCATTTTTTATTACTTCTTGATTACTTATAATTTCTTGTTTAACCCTTAAACACAGAGGTGATGTCTTTTTCCAAATAAAATGAAAAGTGAAGGATCTTCTCTTTATGCATTCAAAGATAGAATGACTCTCGTTTAGTATGTGCCTCAAAAATTAAAAAGTGTTGTTCTCATTTCTTCAATACTGTCTTCAAAATCAGAAGACCTTGAAACTGAGAAAGCAGAAATAATAACATTTTACAATGTGACTAAAGGAGGTGTGGATGCATTGGATGAAAAATGTTCTAAACATTCTACAAGGCGATGGCCATATTTGTTAGGTTACTTGATGTAAGTGAAATTAATGCACATGTAATACATCAGTCAATAAGGGATAGTGCCAGATTGGGGGGGAAAAAAAAGAATTTTTGATGGATTTATCATCAGAATTAGTGAAACCACATATGGAACGGAGGCTTCAAAAGCCAACTGTGAACCGAGAAATAAAAATGTGCGTTCAGGGAGTGCTAGGAGTTTTATGAGTGAATCTATTTTAGCCCAGATGTAACTAATACCCCTAAAATATGTAAAACATGCTTTTTTTGTCGTTTGTAGACTGAGAAAAAAAAACTACTTATGTTTCAGCTTCAAGAATCCGATATGAAATGAATGTGCCAAGAGAATTTGCAAAAATTGTGTTGAAAATGCTTAAAATAATGTGCTGCAGTTTTTTAATATTCTTTATATGTTATACTGTTTTTGCATTTTACATAATCCAGATTCTGTAGATGGAAAATTTATTAAATAATTTAGTTTGTATGCATTTGCAAATAAGTGCATTTGCAAGCAATGTGTATTAATGCTTATATAATAACAATAGTACATTATTTTAAAATTTTATATTTTTAAAATGCATAAAATATAGCGCGATCTGAGAGACCCCTCGTCTGTGTTTATGTAACAGAAAATGAACGTTTGTACTTAAGGGTAACTAAATTGCATAATGCTGTTTGGGAAATTCCCAGTTTAAATACAGATATTCTCAAACTGCAGTTCCTCAAAACACGAAAGTCTTTTACCAGTTTATCCTTTTCTTTCAGACTCAAGTCTTTTCGCTTGGTGTTTCGACATGTTACAAATTAAACATACAACATATTTAATTTTTTTTTTTTTTTAATTTAGTGTTTCTTCCAATGATTTATTCAAATTTCAAAATTTACATTTCTAGCCAGCAGAAAGATTACCCTTTGTTTGTTACATTGGCATGCCATTTCATGATTGCAAGCATGGCCAGTACTTTCCTTGCTTTTGCTTCATTTTACATGTGCCACTTCCTTTTTGTTCAAAGGTTCTTGTGTGATGTTTAGAAGCATTTCTTGACCTTCTTTTGTAACTCTTTGTTAATATAATGTGTCTATCCCAGAAGAACGATTCTGAATGTGGAAATCTTAAAAGATGGGATGTATAAGTTATTTCTACCTTTCTTGCTTTTTTTTTTTAATGTAATTTGAGAAATATTCCACTTTTTGTGTTATGCATAAAAAGCTATTTCTACAAAATATGTGTGATGATTGCTACAGAATGACTATTGCATCCCCTATTATCAAATTCTTAAAAGAAATCAAAACAAAACAAATATTTAAACTGTATACTTAAATTATTTTTAAATGTGTTTCATAAATCAAACAAAAATGTGTAGAAAATAGTGATAAATACTAAAATTCAAGTAAAAGTAATTTTTCATAATCATGAACTAAAACTAAACAGCTAAATAAAAAATTGACTACAATCCTCTTTTACTGAAAATCCCTGCTTTATAAGATATGCATTTGTTTTATGAAATAATATATTGCTTTTCCCTAGATCCTTTTATAAGAATGTGCATTGTGTTAATAATCTGACTTACCCTGTCAACACATGCATACACATTTTCTTTTTATTTTTCAATAGAAGTCTTAATTTGTAGATTTTTATTGTCTTAATTATTATAGTAAAATTAGTTCCACTGTACTATCAAAATATGACTAATATATATTTTTATTTTTTATACAGGGTAAATATGGTGAGATGATGAACAGGTATAAGCAGCTTCTAACTTATATAAAAAGTGCTGTGACTAGAAACTACTCTGAAAAGTCTATTAATTCAATATTGGATTACATTTCAACTTCAAAACAGGTATAGCAGTTTTCTCAAAATGTGCGTAAAGACTTTATAATAGATGTTGATCATTAACCACTTACCTGATTATCCCGAGTTATCTCGGGTTCATATATATTGCAGTGAATTATTATCCCGAGAAAACTCGAACAAAGCAGAATTTGTCAGTACAATTTGTTTTATTACAATTTTACTCAGACTGGAGGAAATAAAAGGAAATATTCAACTTTAATTGGCAGTTTGTCAAGTTTTGTTAGTTTCGCGGTTCTTTTGGCAGGACTGGTCACGTGTTTTACCTACTGTAGAGTATACGTCGACTTGTGAATTAGTAATAAGGATAGTTGCATTTAAAAAAGGAAAGTAATGGCTATGATGCAAGATAGTAAAAGCAATGATTTAGTCCTTCACCACTCAGGTTAATCTGAAGGCATTTTCCAGATGTTATTCCTGCTTCTAATAAAAAACTCAAATCCAATGAGGCAGTCTACTGTGTGCTCCCGTAAAAATGATTCCAGAGGTAAGCCAGTAAGAAAAGATACCAGTGTGCAGAATTCCCTTTGTGTTGTCCCTTGTTTCAAAAACTATCATGCAAAGACTAATATTTAACTTTTTTTCATTTGCCCAAGATAACTCAGGATAATAAACTAATATTAAAACTAAATTCTTCTACACCTGTAAAAAATTAAAACCTACATATTTTGTTTCCTTGTATTTAATAATAAAATTTTTAAAAAAATGTGATGATTTTTTGCAATTTTTTTTCAAAAAAAAATTGTAAAGGAAGAGGTTAAAAGAATGCAATAAGGCAATGACAGTTTCTTTTGTATAATGTGCCAGAATCTTATCTTACATTGTTCGTAAAAAAAAGTGGAATGTTTCAGTTGTTAATACAATTTATGAAAATACTTCTATCAAATTGTCAAGAACGTTAAAAATATATATAATTATAACCCCTTCTTATATGGAATTGAAGTGCAGCAATATCTCACATAGCGTCGCGTCAGTCAGTGTGGAATCACTGTAGTCTAGTTTGAAAATTTCTGAAACAGTTAGAGAATAAAGTAGTTTAGAATACATAAATGTTAGTTTTTTTGGGCTTTCCCATTGTATATATATGTGCTAGGGTCATTCGTTCTCGAGCTCTGGCAGCTGTAACTCCACATGTAATACCTTTGCACTGCACTTCCATAAATTGTATTGTAAATTATTGTCATAAATTTATTGCTTGTTTTCTACTGGGCACTTACACATATAGAAACAAATATATATCTAAAGTTACATATATATATATCTGAAAAACGTGCTTGCTTTTATAAAATTTCAAAAAAAAAACTGCAACATAAAAAACATTATTGAAAATATCAGCTGAGCACAGCATGAATTAACGACAAGCAATATGAGGGTAGTGTAAAAACATGTCATGTCAATTAGATACAGTTTAAACGATTACTGTACCTACACAAAAATTAACAGCATAAAAACTTATAAACAATTTTTGGAATAACTGAATTTTGTTTTAGAACATACCTGGTATTTGATCTCATTTTAAAAACAGTTTCTTGGTTCACCAGACAATAAACAATGCAGTTGGTTGCTGTAGAGAAAAATGCATGAAGAGGAAAGCCCAACAGAAAAAAATGTTCAGTTATCAATGTCGCAATTTTTAGAGAATAAAAAATTAATAATGAAAAGTGTGCATTTTGAAAAAAATTATTTCTAATACATTTGACTTCTTGTTTTATTTATTGGGGAAAAAAATTGTTTTAGAATAATTTTTTATATGTGTAAATGCCTTGATTAGTGTAGTTTCAAGCAAACAGGATATTGATGGAACTTATTACCTTGGCTATGTTAAGCATTGTTGTGTAAATGCAGTCTTTATTTTTCAAACTGTACTTTTATTTTCAGATGGAACTTTTACAAGAATTTTATGAGACCACATTAGAAGCTTTGAAAGATGCAAAAAATGATAGATTGTGGTTTAAAACTAATACAAAATTGGGGAAATTATATTTTGATCGTGGAGAATACAATAAGCTTGCCAAAATTTTAAAGCAGCTGCACCAGTCATGTCAGGTATATATATTTTTCTCAAATTAAAATTTTTAGAGAATTTTTGTTTCTTACATATTTACCTGATGTTATAAGGAGATTTTCGTAATTTCCTTCTTGTTTTAGTATTCTATATAGTTAAGATATCTTGAGTGCACTGATTTGTTTAATATTTATAATTTTACTGGCACCTCACCCTTAAGTTATTGCTGAATAATTTAGGTTACTAATTGCTGGAATTTAATATGCAACTCTCTTCAAAGCTATGTAAAAAACTAGCCAATATGATGCAAATTGGGAAGAGATTTGAGGTACAATAAACTGGAATATTTAAAGGCTCATAATATTGCAGTTCAAGAAAATGTAGCTCTCTTACTTCATTTGAGTACTTTGAATCTGTCTAAATAAAATCCTAGTTATAAGCTGTTACTGTTTGGAAAAGTTTTGAAAATGGCTTAAGAAAACTTGATAGAGCATAAAATTATTTAAAACAATATGAACAAATGCTGTGATTAGTGTATATTTAGCATATGCAGTCAAAAGTCTTTAATCCGGACTCGTCGGGACTTCTGAAATAGATAATTTTAGCTTAGCTTATACTGTCCGTTATACATTAAACACGCATGCGTAAACACATTGTGCGTAAATGCATATGCGCATGCATAAAGGTATTATGCGCATGCACAAAAAGTTTGTAGCTTTGAAGTCCGGATTATAGATCATTCTGGATTATGGACATCCGGATTAAAGACTTTTGACTGTATTTCATCAAAAAAGGGGAGAAAAATAGGAAGCCTACAAATAAAGAAAAAAAGGCATTTGAATTAAAAGAATATATATATATATATATATTTTCCTCAGAACACTTAGTTGCATTTAAAGTTATAAATAGTGCTGTATCTTTTTACTAAACCAATTTTGAAAATGGGGCAGTTGAGTGAGTGACACACTTAAATGGTAGAAATCAGTTGTTATTGTGAAAAAGAATTGAATATCATAAAAAAATGTTAAGTACAGCAAAACTTCCATCAACAGGATCTCAAAGAATGTCTTCTACTTTTGGAATTGAATGCAACTGATTTAAAAATCTGTTAGGAGTTGAAAAGTTTTTTTTTTTTTTTTTTTTTTTTTTTTTTAAAGCACTGAATGCAAATGCTCACACTGGTTATGACTATTAAGGAAAAATCACGAAAATGATGATTATTCAAAAAATTATGAGTAGAATTTAATGAAACTGACCCACAGTATACAACACATAGTGAGGTATAAAATAACAAGAAATTGCAAGACAATTCTGGTGTTAGAAGTTAGCATATGTATAAAATGAACAAATTGGATATGTCAGTTTGGTATAGGAGAATTATTTTCAATATGAAAAAGGGCCCCTAGAAGCAAAAGAAAGCACACAGCGATGTGTGATGCTGTTAATTAATTATGCAGTTTATCAGTTCTGTATGAAATGAGAGCCCTTGCTCTTGCAAAGCAGTTTCAAATGTGGCAAGGGTCTGAAGAGGAGGATTGAAAGTAGCTATACATCTTTCTAACACATCTCAATCATGTTCGATAGTATTCAGGTATGGTGATCAAGGTGGCCAATCAATGTGCTGAATTGTTTGCTGCTGAAGCTAATCATCCATGTGCATTGTCATCCTCTAGCAGTAATTTGTCACCTATTTCCCCAGTATAAAGGTGCACATAAGCATCAAGGATGTCATCTCTATAGCCCTGAGTATTCATGGTTCCACGTGGAATGACATGGAGGTCAGTGCATCCACCTAAAGAAATATCACCCCAAACACAGGCACTGCCTCCTCTGTATGTATCTTTTTCAAAGATGCTTGACAGAAGATAACGGGTTCCAGGTTCTTTCCAAATCAAATAACTAAAAAACTTAGTATCTCGATAATGTAATAAACTTCAGTAACTTAATAGTAAAACTAAAAAGCAAAAATAAAAGGTTAATAGGAGTGAGTGTAACAGCAAACTGGTAGACTGCAAGCTCAGTGACAGTGTAACTTTAAAAAAGCTCGTTTAGGCGACCATTAAATTGCTGAAAATTTTTCAGATATTTTACCCTCTTTCATCACCTCCTGTGGCAGCTTGAGAAATCTAAACAATTTATATGTTTGTGTGTATATTAATTACTATAACTGAATACCAAAGAGCATGGTAACCTTTTATGCTGGCATTATGCTTGGCAATGATTACAAATTTCAGCTAACTGTGCTGTGAAGTGTTGAATGTGTTGATGAGAAATTTAGCAAAAATTTCTTTCCTTATGCAAAACATAGATTTTTGTAAATGATACTCATAGGCCAAAAGATTACATTTTGTTCTGGTTTAATTGAGAATAACTGATTTGTTATTGAGATAAATTCAGGACTGTGCCAGAGCTGGCACAGCGGCACCATTCGGCAGAATGTAGAAGAGGCAAAATTTTCAGAATTTAGAGAAGCACAGAGGAATAAAATTAAGGAATGGCAAGATTTTTAGAATTTAGAAAAGGCACCGGGATGCAAAATTTTTAGAATTTAGAGAGGTGCTTGGCAGCAGAATTTAGTACACGCATACATCATCAAGCTGCATTTAAGTATATTTGGAAATTTATTAATTCAAAGATTCAGATAAGTGTGTGATATGGTAACTTAGGTGTGTGTTGGAAATAGATGTAATGATAATAAATAACTAAACTGATGCAATTTGGGCTTAACTCAATATGCTATAAAAGCAAGGCAAAGTTTAGTGGAACAATATGTCTTATGTCACAAATCTCATGGTATACCAACATTAGTGTATAGTAGGCTCTTGCTTTACATTGATAGCTGCATATTTGAAGGTTTTCAGATATCGCAAACGAAAAGTATAATTTTCGAATTAATGGCATTTATGAAGAAATGTGGTAAAGTAGTAATGAAAGGAGATTAACAGAAGCTTTTCATTGTTTTTCTTGATTAATGACTGCCCCAGTCATCAGTCAAGTAACAGAAGGTGAATTCGTAGCGTGGTTCTAAATCCAGAAAGTATCATTACCGACTGTGAAGAAAGTGGCTGAAAGATAGTTGAAAACAAAAGAGTTTTGATTGACAGTTTAATAGGAATTCTTGACATGACAATTACAAGACTTGGAGAATAGAACTGAACAAGAAATTGTCTATATGTAGAATTGAAGAGAAAGTATTAACCCCCCCCCTCCAAAAAAAACAAGCATGATATGAAACTAATATTGAAAGAAATGTTTGATAAAGCAAATAAATAGGGGAGTTGTTTTTTGTTTTGTTTTATAAATTTTGATTTCCTTAAGGCAGAGGATTCCCAACCTTTTTTGGATCACCATCTCCTTCATAAGAGAAAAAATTCCAATGTCCTCTCTTCCATAAAAGTTAATTTCACCAAATATTAAAATGTTGCATATTATCTGTACCTATTTTTTCTGTCTGTTAAGAATCACAAAATAAGAGTTAATTAAAATGATTATAATGTGTAGTAAAAAATTTGTTTATTAAAAAATAAGCACAAAATAAATTAGAAATAAAAAAATTAATGAGGTGATTAAGGCTGATAGAAAGAATTTGTTAATACAGTCAAAAGTTGTTAATTCGGACACCCATAATCCAGAATGATCTATAATCCGGACCTCAAAGCTACAAACTTTCAAAGCGTAGAGTTAACGCATGCACGTAAGACCTTTACGGCTGCAAATATGCGTGTGCGCATGCGCAAAATATGGTTACGAATGCGCGTTTAATGTATAATGGACGGTATATAAGCTAAGCTAAAATTATCTAATTCAGTTAATGTTGCAGATTGCGCTGTTCCTTAATCTTCGAATTGGATCCGGCTTATTATTTTTTGCAGACTTTTAGAGCAATTTTATAAAAGTAAGCTTGAACTTTCGATTATGTCAAATAGAATTTCTGATTATATTTACTAATATGTAAAGGATCTACAAAGCGAAAGTATGTTTCGAAGTCCATTAAACAAAAAGTGGAATTGCTGCAAAAAATGGATAAAGGATAATGGATTTGTTTATCTAACCATTCCGAAATCTGTTTAATTTCACGCTGCTCTGTGTGTGGGGGGGGGGACATCGCGGCGCACAATGAACTGGAAGTTGATCTATCAGCACTATCCTTATCTTCAGGGCAGATATTTTTATTTTATTTGGCTTATAATTCCTTACTAAATGTAGTATTTCATCTCGATGTACTCCGTCTTTGATATGATTTAAATCAAATTTCTCGTCATAATTCGCTTCCGATAGCGCACTTTCTTTGTAAACGAAAGATTTCGATTGACAAATTAGTCGGTATTCTCGACACAGCAATTATAGGACTTGAACAGCGGAACTTTGTAACTGAACAAGAAATGTCTGTCTGTTTATAGAATTATAGAGAAAGTATTATCACATAAAAAACAAAGCAACTTAACTTACATTGAAAGAAATGTTTAATAAATTAAACAAATAAATATTAAGCTTTTTTTTTTTTTTTTTTGTAAATTTTGATACCCTTTAGATCATAATTGTTCTTTATTTCATAAATTACGGTTTCATATTTTTAATTTTATAATTTCTGCATGCCATCTTACCAGATTTAAACTGATGATTTATAATCCGGAATCGCCGAAGTCCCGACGAGTCTGGATTAACGACTTTTGACTGTATTGGGTTTCAGTTTTGTTAACATCAGTTGCAAATTGCCATATTCTTTGGCAGTGCATTCTGTTCATTTTCTTAGACAGTAAATAAGCTACTGTACTGAACCTAAATGATACGATGCTAGATATGAAGGAGGAAAAGCAATTAAAAATTAATATTCTTGCTCACAATTCAAAATAGAGAGCTGGTATTGATTTTTGAAGCCAGAGTATTTGGTAATCATCTGTGAATTTTAGTTCTTTGTTATGAGTTCTACTGGTTCTTCTAAGTTTAATGATTCTGCTGCATCTGTATTTGCATAAGAATCTAAAACCCATACCTCGATATATTCATGTTTAAAATATCCTGTAATTGCGCCATAAAATCAGCTTTGTCCACGATATTAAATATTGATTCTCTCTTTGTATAGGTATCCAAATTTTTGACAAATAATAGTACTTAGCTTTTTTTCTTTTTTTTTCCTTTTCCTTGTGTGAATCAAATGCATAGTAAGATTGGTGCTTCATTATTTCTTGAAGATGATTCATCGAGCTAAATGAAAAATTTACAATTAACTGTGTAGTGTTATTTCGGCATCTTTAGCTATTTCATTTATTTTCTTTGTACCAACTTATTTCTTGAAGGAATTTTTCTGATGGTGTCTTATGGTATAGAACAGTTTTTATTACCTCTTGAACTGCCAGAAAGATCAATTCCTTGTCACATATGTGTGTTTTTTCTTCTTTTGTGGTTAACAATGAAATATTATATGAGGCTATTATATGTCTATCAATATATAAATATTATATGTCCATCATCTTGTGCAAAAGACTATGCAAAAAGTTGATACAATTGGCTCTTTTAAATTTCTTTACCAACCCTTGGAAACAGAATAAATGTTGTATATTTTACATACTCAATACTGTATTTCCAGTATTTCTTTATAGATTCAAATATTTTGAAATGCGAAACTTGCAGCAGTTTAAAGAAATTAGCTTTTTAACAGATTTTTAGAAAAATAAGGATTATAATGAGTTCTACTGCTTTCACTCACGAATATGTATTATTAGAAAAGCACATAAAAAGGGGACTTTCCTAAAGATACCAATACTATACATATAGCTGAATTATCACATGATTTTACCGGCCCTGGTGAGGTACGGCCACAATGGGTGCATGACAGGAATTATTTTGGCATGGAGACTTCATAGGAATGGATGTAGTCATGGAAGAAGGAAAGGCGGTAAATGTTTCTTTGTGCAGAAGTGTCCTGCTTTTGGATTTGCTTGGATTTGTCACGTGAAGTAATACTAAACCACTGTTAAGTAATGTGCTTTGGATGTAAAAAGTGCCACACACCCTTAAACTATCAAAGCTTGGCAGTACTGCATCAGCCATGGTGGAAGGAAGGCATCTCCTTCTGTTACTTCTTCCATGGATAGATTTGGGTAAAGAGTATGATGGTTTGTCACTTGTGTCAAGCCTGCATGACGAAATGGTCGAAATTTCTCTTCCACTGAATTAATTGTGTGCCCTTTGAAAGGTGTAGACGCTGTTCATAGGCATGGACATCTGAGGTGAGGTAGTCACATGTGTTCTACTGAGCCAGTTTGGATGTTTATAGAAAAAGTTAATTCTTTGGTGGAGTTTGATCTGCAGGAAGCTGGAATTCTTTATAGTTGCCTATAGGTAAGGCATTTCCAGAGCTACCCCTGCCTGTTATAGATTTGATATCATCCACACATAAACTTTTACGCCTTTGCTTGTTTGCAATGCCAGTGCACTTGTTTAAACAAGTGATTACAAGCTCCTATATCTTTGATGAAACATGCTTCACTGTGTGAATATCTTCTTTAGCTTGCAAAGATTCACCACTAACGATACTGAAAAAGGAATTAAGTATATTCTTACCTAAAGTTAATTAAAATTTTTTAATGCTTTAACACCCCCTCTTTGCATCTGGACACGCTACTGCCCTCATGGAGGACGCCAGGGCCACTGGGGGCTGGTACTGCCTCCCATTGGAAACCTATGCCTTAAGGTCATAAATGCTTCATTATTTCATAAATCGCTATTTCATGTTTTTAATTTTGTAGTTTTTAACATGTCATCTTACTAGATTTAAATTTATTTAAACTGATTATCTAATATCCGGAATCACAGAAGTCCCGACAAGTCTGCATCTTTTACTTTGTACTATACTTTTTAGAACATACTTGTTCATGCTTTGTGATGCTTTGTATTGAAATTGCAGCATTTAAAGTCCATCAGTTATGTTTTTTATCTGTCACTGAAAGTTAAAGTAAATAATGTAAAAAATTGTAGTGGTGATTTAAAATTTAACCAATACAATGATTTTATATTTCAGAAAAACAAAATTAAACAGCATTTAAAATTACCATATTTTATTATTACTTGAAAGTTATTATTTGAAAGTGTGGCATATAACTTGAATGTTTGCCGCTAACAAGATTTTTGCTATGATTTGAAAAATTTGCTATGTATACAGTAAAGCTTCAGATCATAATACTATCATAGAAGAATATTTCTCAACAAATCTTGTGAAAGTCTGCAATCTTTTGTCAGCTTCCTTCCACAAAATTACTTTCTTGCTCAGTGTGTTATCATCATCTTCATCCTCTTTTCCTTTCTTCTTTCCCAGTGCAAAATTGATTATTTCGTAGTGATCTTGAGAGAGTGTGATGGAAACAGAACTGCATATGTCTACACAAGCCTACACCTTCTCTTCACTAATATTAAACTTCTCTAAACATGCTATTAAATCTAGACCACATTTCGCAAATCTAAATCATGAACCACATTTTATGCATAACAATGGCATAAATATTCTTTACATCTTTCCAAGCCTGAGGCAAAGTAAATCTTTCATTGTGAATTGTTACTGAACATTATGGACAACTAGCTTCAAAGTTTGTGAATCAGTGACTAAAAAGAGATCTATTGTACATCTTTGTATGTTCATGATCAATTGTTTGGATAAAACTTGTTGCATTCAGGGGGAGAAACAAAAAATAATGGTTTTTTCTATTTAATCTTTAGATTTTTAGGCCATTATATATATGTTTTTCTTTTCTCTCATTGACCTAAATTTCAATTTTAAATTTAGATGTACAAAAAGGTTGTAATTTTGATGTTACTGGTCAACTGGATGTCTGTTACGAAAGGTTTTACTATATTCTGTAAATTTTGCACTTAATACAAATTTTCGTCTCTGTATCCAGGCAGGATAGAGTAAATTGTTATGCTGAATATGTTTAAGTCAATTGATCATGTATGTCATTTCAGATGATTGTCATGGTATCTGAATTAGTGAAGGTACAATATTTTTGCATTGTTTTAATATTAAGCTACAATATTCTTGTTTTTGATCTTAGGAACTATTTTATATTCATTTTTTTTAATTATTCAATTAATTTTATAGACAGATGATGGCTCTGATGATTTGAAAAAAGGAACTCAACTATTAGAAATATATGCATTAGAAATTCAGATGTATACTGCACAAAAAAATAACAAAAAGTTGAAAGTAAGTAATGCTGCTTGCAAGACCATTTCATGTGATTTCATATTTTGTTTCAGTTTTAAGTTATGTACATTAATTTTAAAAGTGCTAAAATTATTCAATATGAGTTCATAAGCAGCTGATGAATGATTAGATAAGAGAATTTGTAATTATCGAGATGTGAATTCATGTAAGAGATGAACTTTCAGCTTTTGAAGATTAAAATATTCTTTTCTTTTGAAATTATGTATGGTTATTTTATGTTTTGTTTTATATAGAAACTATATGAGCAATCTCTTCATATAAAGTCTGCTATTCCTCATCCTTTAATAATGGGTGTTATAAGAGGTAAGGATGTAAGATTCGATTTGTTGTAATTTTTAATATTTTCTATTGAATTATGTATCTTGACAGCTTTCAATTATTATGTAAGTGTAAATACATGAAGTGATCTTGATGTAGCATAAAATGTATTTGCATTCACAAAAACCTGCTTTATTGTGATGGAGAAAAGTACTTCATGCCAAAAGAAGAAATTTTTAGCCCTTGTGTAAACTGTATACTGTGATTAGTTGTGTAATGTAAAATGGCACAATTTTTGTTAATGTGCTTTGTTAGATTTTCCTTATAATGTGTGATTCTAGCTTATATAGGATATTCTGCATCCTCCTATAACAAGGTTTGCATAATGCTTGTCAGAATAAGATTATCATAAGCTGTAATAAATGATAGCCTGTAATAATATTTGTTATTTATGTTGATCATGAGTGATACAGTAATATTAGTAGGATAACAAATTTTTATCTTTACTGTATTACATGTTTCAGAAAACATGCAAATATTATCAATGGAAATATGGCAGTATTTGACTAGCTTTTTTTAGGAAAAGAATTTTGACAGTTTGTTCTAGTGGGGTATCGCAGTATTGGAATAACATTTGCCATTTTAATTGTACCAGAATGAACTGGTCTTTATTAAATATAAAAATGTACAATTTAAAGATAATGATCAGGTTTAATTCCTGATAAACAAGGTAGTTGTATAGGCATGTGCAAAAAAATATAAGCAAATTTCTGTAAGATAATCTTCTACAAAGATTTCATCCTCGTGGGCACTATAAATCTCACATTCTTTGCCATGGCGTATAAACAAATTCTACAGAAAGTGAGCAGTTTTGCAAAGTAAAAAGAAATGTTCCTCACTAATTCACCACAGTTTCATAGAAATGTGAATGATCACATCGAGTGGCAAGAGAATAAGCTTTACTTTGGACATTTAAATATCAAAATTGATTAAAATAAAGGAAATTGTAAGTCCCCCCCCAGAAAAAGGGTATCTGTGAAAGCATTAGAGTTGTGTGGGTTAAAATTTAATGAAGGAAATAATTTTGACTTGAAACATGTTATTTGGGTCGTATTAGTCTTGGGATTTTTTTTTATTCCTATGAATTTGCATATATTAAATGTGCTTATTATAAATTTTCTGTATCATATCATCTAGTACTTCATAGTTAACAATATTTAAATAACCTCGATCCTTATAATATCTAAATCAAATTTTATATAGACCTTGCAGCTTGAAAGATTTAGAAGGATTTGAAAAGATTTGAGACCCAGAAAAGTGTGACGAAATGAAAAAAGTGTCTTCATAGTATTAGCATCTGATGGACATGTTTTATAGGAAATTTGTGATGAATTTCTTATCTTTTGGAAAACAGTGAAAACCATACTGTTTGAATTTTCTCATTTTTATCCCAGAAGTCTTCCTCTTAACATGGTTGTCTTCCTTTAATTTTCTTATCTTTCCATAAGACACTAACATTAAAGCAATCAAAGAAATTGAAAAATGATTTATTAAAAATGATTTATAATATATGCCTGTCCTAAATTCTAAAAATTTTGCCATACCTAAATTTTGTTGATTTGTGTGTCACTAAATTCTAAAAATCCTCTCGCACTGGCTCTAGCTCAAACTATATACATCACGAAGATGACATCCGTCCTAGTTCGTGTCGTATGGAATTGAATGTCACTTCTGCAGAAATCAGTTACATTGGCATGCAAGGCCTGTTGTTCAATGCATATATTTTTCTTTTGTTACAAGATATTTTGAATAGCACAGTATTACATATAAGCATTCATATTACATAATTGAATACTATATATAAGGGAAATTATATTGTATGTATACATATGTATGCATATGGCAGTGCATTAAATGAGTACTACATTTGGTGTATAAATAAGTCAAATGTGCTACATTTGAGTGATGACAGTCAATGTGGAAGAAAGATTTTTAAACTACAGATATATATATATATAAATGACATTATGCAAAACTGTTACTGGTATTTCATGTGTTAATTTGGTATATTTACTATATTGGAATGAACACTTATATTATGAAAGTTAGATAACTGTATGTAACAATGTATTACACCAGATGAGTGCAAATATTTGTATATGTCAAGAAGTTGATTCGATGGAACAAAGATTTTTATCACAAAAGAGTTTAAATAACTATATATATAAGAATATTAAAAAAATGAAATACTTCTGTAATATAAAACCGTAATTTAGCTACTTGGGCAATGACTGTGAGGAGAGCTGTTCCAAATTACCGCGTTTTTGCAGCGCAATATGTAGTGATAGCATGTAGTTTTGATAGAGCAACATTGTTATTTTGAATATTATTCCACCATGCTGTGCAACACATGGGTGCTGTGTTTTTTTAGATGGAACTTTGCCGTCAAGCAGCATTCAAAGTAATAATGGTCTGGGCTGCCCATAGTCACAGGTGTCTGTGTTGGAAAGACCAAACCTATGCAGATAGGTACAGTCCATGTCTTGTTAGGAGATGTGACATGCTGCCAGTTTTGCTCTGCAGATCCATGCTTACACTTGGGAGCATTGCATGTATATGTCGACCCGTTGTGGCATCATTCCAGCGGATTTGCCACTGTCATATGAGAAGTTTCATGTGGAATGCTTTAGTAGCAAGATTGGAAGTGTTGTTGGATACTCCTCAAGTAAGGATGCACTATTGGCAGCTTCTTTAGCCACTGTGTCTGCACTTTCATTTCCTAGTATTCCTACGTGCTCTGGCACCCAACAGAGTATAGAACGAAAAGGTATGGGGATACTGATGAGAGTTTTCTGTATTTTCTGAACCAGAGGGCTCCTACTGTGCATGCTTGAAAGTGCTTGGAGGCAGGGTGTATATAAATATGAACTTGAGTAAGACCATTCCTACAACTGTGGCTGATTGCTGTGTATAAGGCTATGAGTTCTGCCTGAATCACTGAATTACTTTCATTCAGTCTTCATTTCCAGAAGAAGATAATGCTGCCAATTGCAGAATCCACATCTCGTGCCAGCCTCTGTCTTAGATCCATCAGTGTATAATGCATGATCATTTTGCACCAGAGAATCTTGAGTTTATATGGATGGTGTCCATTAGTCAAATTGTGCTGGGTGACAAAGAGAACGAGATTTGTATTTTTCATAGTCTGTGTGGATTATGCTCTGTCCCCAAAGTGATGTATTTTTATTAAGCCTTGTAGCTTTTATCACTGTGGCTTCCCTCTCGACTACAATATCAGGAGGGGGAAGACCCGCAATGACTTGTAAAGTAGATATTGGAGAAGTCCGATAGGCCTGACAAATGAGCAAAAGTTGACTTCTTTGTATGGAAAGCATTCCTCATGATAGAAGTGAGGTTCTGGCGTTCTGAAATGGTTTTGTACCAAGATTTCAGGAGATTTGCCAGTATGCCCCATTTCATACCTGCAGTACGTTTCATACTGTTAGTGAGATTGCCAATGTGCTGTCTGAGAGTTTTAAGATGAGAAGTCCATGAAAGTTTATTTTCAAAGGTATTTCATTTCTGAGACTGTTTTTAATTAATGTCCCTGTAGTTTTAGATAGGTTCTTCTTCTAAGGGGATGATTATGTTTATTATCATGGCTTGTGTTTTTTTCTGCACTTATTTCAAGTTTATGCTCCTTGGCCCATTGAGCAAAGATATCTAGACAAACCTGCGATCTTTGTTGCATGTTGCTCCGGCCCGCTACAATAATGAGGAAATCATCAGCATATGCCAGAATCTGGACTTGGTGAAGGTTATTAATATTTATTTCTTACCACTATTGTTATTTTACACTTCTACATAATTAACCAAGGTAAAACAAAACTTCTTACCTTGTCCCAGTGGGTTCTGCCAGGGCCACTGGTTGAATTGATCTCCTCTTTCCATCTGTATCTGAAAATCTTTGAAGGGAGTAATCCATAAAATGATAAATACATTCTTTACACAAACATATTTTAATGAAGACGCAAACCGGTTACAGAATTTTTACATAATAAAAAGGATTTAAATTTGGTACCACGCAGCATGCGACCTTCTCCGTTCTGAGTTCTTGTACGATCTCTGAGCGAGAGTTCATAGTTCGAGATGATGTCACTCAGCCATCGGATCTCAGCAAGAGTTGAGAACAAAGGTTGCTGGAATGCAGTGTTTGCTACTAAGTTCCAAAGGGTTGGACCTAAGCACGAACCCTGAGGGCAGCCATGAGTAATTTTTTTGGTGATGATGTCATAATTCATCATGATCTAGACTTCTCTGTTGTCCAGGTAACTTCTAATGAGATCTATTATCACACCAGGGCAGGAAAGAGAGGACAAGCTGCTGATAATGTCTGTCCACCAGATGGTGTCGAATGCTCCCTGGATGTCAATGGAAATAATGAGGGAGTGCATGTCTGCGCTCTTATTGTTTGACAGCGTTGTCATTAGATCATGCAATGCATTTTCAGTTGACATTCCAGCCCGAAAACCATACTGGTTAGGATGCAAAGTATTAATGGTTGCAAGGTGGTGACTGAGCCTCGTAAGGATGGTACATTCTAGCACTTTTCCAAGCACTGGTAATAAACAGATGGGCTGGTACGATCTTGGTATAGCCGGATCCTTCCCTTTTTTGCAAAAGAGGGCTACTTCTGCCACTTTCATTCCTTGTGGAAAATGACGTTGCCTCCAACATACATTGAAGAGAGAGTGTAGTAGGGAAGGAAAGTTCTTTTAGATGATTTTGATAATCATATTATCTAGCCCATCTGGGCCAGGGGCTGTCTTAGGAGCTAGGTAGTGTATTATGTGGTTAAGCTCACATGTTGTGGGAAGTAGCTCTTTTCTTTGCTTTGTTCAAGAGCTGCCTTGCAGGCCATTGTGCTGCCGAACTATCTTCGGTGTTATTTGTGTGAAATATGCAGTCCATAATTTGTCTCGCCCCATTTGAACCTGACTTAGCAGAAGGTAGGGGTGAGGCTGTCAGTATTGTTGGTCAAAATA